GATTTTAATATTATGACATGTAATTTTACAGACATAATGCCTTGACATGTATTTAAAAATTAATTTGACATTTTGGAATCAGTATTTTGACATTACGTAATAATTAATCAATGAAATTAGATTTATATTCTATATTATATAAAGTGCCTTATAAACAAACATTTGCATGCCTGGAAAAGGTGGAATACACTGTACTGTTGAAAATTACACTAAGATCCATTGTATCACATGTTCCTGCGAATAAATTTCTATTTCTATTTTTTCTATTTCTATTTCTAATACCTCACCATGCCTTTTGGCCTGAGTAATGCTTGTTCTGTTTACCAGCGATGCATCAACAGAGCCTTGACATCATTGCTGGGAACAGCTGCACAGGTGTACGTGGATGATGTACTCTCCAAATGCACAGATTTTCCAGAAGGAATATCACACCTGGAGCGGATTCTGATAGCACTACAAGGGGCTGGCTTTTCTATAAATGCTGATAAGTGCAGTTTCTTCAAACGATCCATAGAATACCTTGGCAACGTAGTTTCTGATGGACAGGTACGACCAAGCCCGCGAAAAGTCGAAGCTCTGGTCAAGGCTCCAGTCCCGAAGACTGTCAAGCAGGTGAGACAGTTCAATGGACTAGCAGGGTATTTCAGGAAATATATTCCTGACTTTTCACGTATAATGTTACCATTGTATGAACTGACAAAACAAGGTGCGAAATGGACATGGACAGATAAACACGAAAAGGCACGCAACATAATAATTGAATGTTTGACGTCTGCTCCGGTACTGACTTTATTCCAGGAAGAAGCACCCATACAGTTGTATACGGATGCTAGTAGCCTTGGGTATGGTGCAGTACTGGTACAGGTTGTCAACGGACGTCAACATGCAGTTGCATATATGAGTATGAGGACCACTGAAGCAGAGAGTCGTTACCACTCCTATGAGTTGGAAACATTAGCAGTGGTCCGAGCTATAAAGCATTTTCGCCAATACTTGTATGGGCGAAAATTCACGGTGATAACGGATTGCAATGCATTAAAGGCGTCCAAACACAAGAAGGATCTTCTACCAAGGATTCATCGTTGGTGGGCATTCTTGCAAAACTACGATTTTGAAATCGAGTACCGCAAGGGTGAACGTCTCCAACATGCCGACTTTTTCAGCAGAAACCCGACTGAATTTGCAGTAAATGTTATGACAAGAGACATGAATTGGCTCAAAATTGAACAGCGGCGTGATGATGAACTGCGACCTATAATGGACAGTCTTTGCGATGGCAATTCAGTAGAGAGCTACGCTTTAGAAGATAATGTCCTAAAGAAACAAGTAAACGATCCTGTCTTTGGTCGGCAGCTTAGTACAGTTGTCCCCAAGGCCTTCCAATGGAGTATTATTAACTCTTTTCACACAGCACTGAAACATCCTGGTTGGGAAAAGACATTACAGAAGATCAGAGAAACTTATTGGATTCGATAAAATGAGTTCTACTATTCGAAGATTTGTGGACAACTGTGTGATATGCCGAACATCGAAAGGAAGATCTGGTGCTATTCAAGCCCAAATGCACCCAATAGAAAAGCCGGCTGCTGCTTTCCAAGTGATTCACATGGATATAACTGGAAAACTGGGAACTCCAGAAGATCAGCAATACGTTATAGTCACTATTGATGCTTTCTCAAAGTATGTACTGTTCTACTTTTCTAGCAACAAGAATCCACACAGTACATTAGCTGCTCTGAAACGCACTGTAAATTTATTCGGTGCACCAATTCAGGTAATAGTTGATGGTGGAAGAGAATTCCTGGGTGAGTTTAAAGACTATTGCGACCACTCTGGAATAAAGATTCATGCCATAGCTCCAGGAGTTAGCCGAGCGAATGGTCAAGTAGAGAGGGTTGTTGCAACTCTCAAAAATGCATTGGTAATGATCAGAAACTACGAAACAGAGCAGTGGCACACTATACTTGAGGAACTACAATTAGCAATGAACTGTACAACTCATCGTGTCACTGGAGTGGCTCCATTGACACTTATTACACAACGAAAGCACTGTGTACCTCCTGAGCTCCTCAATTTAGTGAATATTGATAGTGCAACAGTCGATATTGAGGCGCTTTCTCAACAGATATTACAGAAAATGTCACGTTCAAGTGAACAAGACAGACAACGATTTAATCAACATAAAGCCAAAATTCATCATTTCCAAAGAGGAGACTATGTGTTGATTAAGAATAACCCTCGTAATCAAACGTCACTCGATCTTAAGTTTAGTGAACCTTACGAAGTGTGTAGAGTTCTAGAAAATGACCGATATTTAGTGAAGAAGGTAGTCGGCAGGGGGCGACCTCGCAAGGTGGCTCATGATCAGCTGCGCCGCGCACCACAACCGGGTGAACAGATGACCGAATCGGCGGGAAATGTATTACCTGACCATCAGGAGTCTGCTGCAATTGAGCCCATCCCTTCTACTTCACGAGACCCAGAAAACCACTAGCTACAAGTGAAAACAATTCATCAGAATAAACAGTAAGTAACTAAATTCAATAACAATAAATAAAGTCTTAAAACATATGTATCTACGAGAACCTTCGAGAACTCTTCGAGAACCTCCGAGAACTCTTCGAGAACCTCCGAGAACTCTTCGAGAACCTCCGAGAACTCTTCGAGAACCTCCGAGAACTCTTCGAGAACCTCCGAGAACTCTTCGAGAACCTCCGAGAACTCTTCGAGAACCTACTAAACACTGATATCACATGTTGTGCGTTGGTGTTATAACTAACATAAGCAACACAAGTTGCCTACAGATATCCGACTCAAAAGAAGTCAAATCCTTTGTTGCAGGTACGAAATAAAACCAACAATCAACGAGGCTGGTGCAGAGCTCGCACCGCCTGTCAGTATGGCCGTATCGGCGCAACAACAATAAATTAGTCAAAACTTGTTTATAAATCAAGAATTTATTATTGTCTGATTTTGTAATGTAAAAATCTTGTGATTAAAATAAAAGTTAGAACTTAACCTACAATAATGTGCACATGCTCGCTACACTATAAATACGGCCGCACAGAGCGCGCTGGCTCAGTCTTGCTCGAGCTGTCGAACTGTACGGACCTACTTAAAATAAGTTGTTACGCTGTCAGTTTAATAAACAAGGCTTTTAGTGAACTTGTAGTTTTCTTACTTTGAAAATTGAAGATGAGTGATAACCAAGAACATAGTGTCGGTGACGTCAGCCATGCTGACGTCACACTTTTTAAAAACAGAACGGGGACCGTTCCTCCGTCATATATAATTTCTTCTATGAGTGTGTATGTCACTGAACTTCTCTCAAACGACTGGACCGATTTTGATGAATTTTTTTGTGTGTGTTCAAGGGGAACTGGGAATGGTTTAGATTCACAAATCAGCCCGGCAGATGGCGCTGCAGTCGATGTGTAGGTTATTTATCCTAAACAGCTGAACTAATTTAAATGAATTTTTGTTTATACATTCAAGTGGATATGCAGGACAACGTCTGTCGGGTCCGCTAGTATTACATATTTTAATACGGAATTCACATTTCATTTCCATGTATGACAAAACAAGTTTTCACACGAAAACACGTGAATGACGAAATTTCCAGCGTTCATTTATCGTTCAAGTCCAGCCAAAAATAAAATACAAGTAACTATTTTACAAATGAAATATGAATAAAGGCAAATTGGCGAAACTGCTGATTAACAAATCTTAAGGTTGTTTGAACTTCCCTCCCGTAATTTATAATCGAATTTGTTTCAATTATAAAATGGGGCAGATCCTCCAGTTAAATAATTTATTAGGCTAGGTACTTTAGAATTTGAGTTGGGAATATACCTTACGAGCACTAACAATAGGGATGATGACAACAGGGTATGAAAATTAAAAATCTAATTAGTTCATAAGTTAGGTAATTAAAAATTATTAGACACGTATTTTTTTATTTTGTCGTATAATAAAACAATACTTAGATAAAAAGAATCAAAGTTTAGGAGTGGGGGCTAAAACGTCATTTCTACGTAAAAAATGTACATAGAAGTGACGTCACGCGACACTTCAAATTAATATATCGTCGAAAGTATTCGTTTCTGTAAGAAAATAAAAAATACGTGTCTAATGATTTATAAGAATCTACCAGACGAACATTAAAATAAAAATTAGGCATCTACCCTATTATGTTTTATTTTAAGTCTGTGACCAAAATTATCACTAGTTTCATTTTACAACTACTAGAATTAAAAAAAAAACAATATTTTCATCAAAATAAAATAAATATTATCGCCATGTTGCAAAAACATATCAAAGGACTGGACAATAGGGACATCGAAGATTTTTGTAACAAAAAGAAATATTACTGTATATTTCAGTTTTTGTAAACATTTCTTTATAGAAATAGTAGTCAATGTTAAATATTAAAACACGAGACAATGTTTCAAATTCTTTGTATGTACATAATGTACAAGGCATACATGTATTCAGCAGGTCAAAAGAAAGAAATATTTATTCCTCTCGTCCAGCGTACCCTATTTCATCGAGTTAGTCGCCAGTCAACTGTAAACTTTAGTTGTGACGTCACAAAGGTAACTACTTTAATTTAAACTTCGACTAGGCACCGACACTTTCCCTTCAAACGTTAATGTTTAACTTTTTACTTTATCGTGTTTGTGGAAAGTTAACCGTTTTTGACACCCGATCTTGTGATACGGTGCTGTCACACTCGTAACTTCTATCTCCTCACTACGAAGTGAAATCAAGAAATTGTCAAAAATAGTGGGCAAGATGTACCTACTGTTAAGTATTAGTAAAGAAAATGTTCTATGAAATTAACCTGTTGATCTAAAACAACTCATTTTTATGAACGTCGAAAAGTTACGAAACAACAATGTTAAACTAATTAAAAAATATGAATGAAGTTTCTGATTTACTCAAATGAAAGCCAATTTGCTACAGATATTATAGTGTCTACATCCACTAAGTAGACTTACCTCCACTGACAACGCAGGTGAGCTTCAAGCTAGTATCTTCTATGTACGGGCCGGCCACGCCGACCACTTCTTTATCGAATTCATCGAATATCTTCGGTTTTTCTGGTAGTTCTGTAACAATTGATAATTTATACTTTATTATTATTTTTTGTACACAATTATGCAGTTAATAACACAATAACATTACCGCGGTACATTTTAAACATACTGAAAGTGAATGCTATAATAAAAATGTTTAAAATGTTGTATTAAAAATTTGGTATATTTAAAAAAAACCGATAAGAAATATTATGATTGATAGTACCTCACATATTTTACACACCTTTCCATACACTTATATACACTGGACTTTATATTCTCTATTATTTTCTTTTCCAAAGTTATGAAGAATAAATGTTTTAAGGTTACGTACAAATTTTATTTCTTCTAGTCATAAAACAGAAATACGCCATTATCTGACTTATGTCTATAATATAAAAACCTGTTTTAACAAAACCTAAAAGAATTAACAATAGCGGCTGTCATCTTAAGTAGCATTGATGATAGTATTTGAGAGATAAACTGATCGCGACATAATACCAAAAGTCGAGCGCAACATAGTATTAACCCTTTGAGTACCGTCATTATCGACACAATTAAAGAGCAATAGGTTGCGGTCATCGGTGTCCTCGCGGTGTTTGACAGTTTAAAACTTAAAACATTCCAGCCTTGTTTGCTTTATTTTAAAGCGTCAGGCAAAGAAACGAATTATTAATATGTTTACACACATTTTGTACCAGTTGTGGGGTTTTTTTTTGTATAAAAAATAGGGTCAGATTAGTGTACAACGGTGAAAAACAGATTTTTAAACTGTTAGGTACTTTAAGTTTTAAAAACTGAAAATTTTTAAAAATCTCTTATAACCGGAAATCGAACCTCAAATTGATCTAGTTTACTCAGTTAACAAGGTTGTATTACCATTGTGATTTAATTTGAGTCCGTCACTAAATTTCTTAATTAAAGTTATAATTTTAATTAAAATCATAATCCTTAATAAAGTCAAAGTCAAAGCATTTATTTCAATTAAACCATAATTTGGTACTTTTGAAACGTCAACAAATACAAAATAAATAATAAGCTGTCAGTCAGTCCGTCAAATGAAGCTAGGTAAAGCTAGGTGCTTATTCCAAAATATAGATTCGAATGGAGAAGAACGAGCAAGAAACTCCATTCATTACCCTTTTTAAAAAGTATGTTCTTTTAAAATATTTTAAAAATCATGTTTTAATTAGTAAAAAACGCTACCTTGTTTTATTCCGCTGTCTCTTATCACACAAGTATAGGCCTTAAACGGATATTGGCTTACATAAAAGCAACACGCGCTGGTATAATATTAAAAATGTTTTAAGCTTAGAATACTGAACTGAGACTTGAGTATTAAATATTAAATTTGCATCCTCCGTTCTATGAATATTTGTATCTCATAACGTACAATTAATTTATTTATACTGTTACAGTCTAGAGGTAATGTACTCGCAGTGTCTGCATTGGCGTTTCGTAATTCATATATGGTTCATATCTTTGTGTGTATGTAATTTTTTGTCTCTCTCTCTTTCTATATATCCTCTCTTTTTGAGTAGATATAAAACAATCTTACAAAAGGAGTCATTTTGTAATTTAAAATTAAAGTAGAATTAGATTTAATCGTATAATCATCTGAATAAGATTAAAAAGAGTTCCATAAGTAGTTGAACTGGTTCCAACAAAACCTGGATATTACTATAATATTTTTAGTGTGTCCTATATCAAAATAATTGTTCAAGTTCTAAATTACATTTATGTCATAACTTACCGTAAACTATAAATAAAAATGTCACGGTGAATTACTATTCTATGGAGTCATGGTTTTTCTGTATTTCTTGAAACAGATACTATGAGTAATTCAAATGATAATAAAAATAAAAACGAACTATCAGCACTTCAAACCAATCCATTGGTTGCGAGACCCCAAAAGAGAAATAACGTGTTAATAAATAGTAGGCAGGTTCAAACCATAATAACAGTCGACCCTCATTTTAACTGGTCGCGTGAGAAAACCAACAGCTGACCTTGTTCCATTTACTTCTACAGATTGAAAATGTTATATCGAAGGAACAGATGGGGCGTGTGACGAAAAAAGACACGCACTCAAAGTACCTCACGTAATTGAGTTACCCTACATTAAACTTACCCTCGGACCCTATATTGCTAAAATAAAAGTCTCGAAAGACATCGTTGATGCAAATTACTTTGGCCAAGCAATCTTCGTCGTTTGTGAGTTTCCATTGTTATAATGTAAGGAATCAAATCAAATGGCAATGTCGAGTTTTGAGATGGAATTATGGATTTTTATGTTTGTTTGTTTATTAGGTATTTTGAGTACTGTCAAAGAATGTGTTTTGATTGTACTGCAGAAAAGGATGTTGAGCGAGCAATTAAGCGAGAATGTATCGAGAAGTCGATATAGGGTGCCCTAAATCGACATCCGTTGACCAAATACGATGGTGACTAATTAAAAAGGGGTCTAATTAAAAGCACCCTCAATCGATAAACATGCATGAAGAGATTAATGAATGTAAATTCAGTATAAAAGGTTTGTCAGAGTCGTGTCGTTTGGTGTCCTATTGACTCTATTATAAAGGTTGGTTGAAACATTAAAAAATTGGACCAATAATGTGTATAGTTAGTTATTAATCTAAAGTATCAAAACATATTTTAGTATTTTAATGTAGAAACTAACTTCTGTTAGAATATTCAATTTAAAAATATGAAAAATATAAATAGTGGCTACGTCGTAGCCGCGGTTACGGCGTAGCCGTAGGCTACGACAGCTACGCGAGCGTAGCAGATCGAGTAAATTAAAATTATTGCGCGCTTCGGCAATGAATCAAGTATGATAATAATGTTGAATCTATTATGAGATTATTTTAGTCTAGAATATTTTCATGAATTTGTAATATTCAAATTTAAGTCGTTCTTAATTGACATATTATGATGAACGACACAGCATTCTTTCATCGTAGTAAAAATACATGCTAAGGAAGAATTAATGTTTTACAGTCCTTTTACTATAAACTGCAAATTATTATAATCATTACAGCACATTTAGTTACGAGCCGATCCCAGCCAGGCAACTCATCATATTCCGTGGAATATATTTAAAAGGATATATAATAGATCCGTGATATAAAATAAGTCATGATATTTAATTGTCACTTTTAGCGAACTTAGCAATCCATTTTACTGGATGGTGATGAAAGTTTCAGTAACTATATAAATCTTCATATTGGATATTTCTGTCGAATAATTATTGAGATACGTAATATTAAAAGGGCGGTGTTGAGGCCGTTGAGTAATACCCTAATTTGTTCAGCGGTTTTTATATCAAGATACATTTAATAACCGTTTGGATGGCAGTGGAAATAAAATGCTTGTTATTTATATAATGTTGTTTTTATAAACATTAGGTCAGCAAAGAAAAGTGATTTCACTTATTTTATTTCTAGATATTGAAGGTCAGAGTTTATATAATAAATTTGATTGAATATATTTATAGACAAACCACATTTTATTTAGACATTATTAGCCAGTATACCTTAAAATATGATTAACTAGCTTCTGCCCGCGACTTCGTACGCGTACCATCCCATTTTTTCCCGACCCCGTTCGTGATTTTCGGAAAAAAAAAATTTTGCTTAAAAAGTATCCTATGTCGGTCTCTAAGCTACCTCCCTACCAATTTTCAGCCTAATCTATTCTGCCATTCTTGAGTTATAAGTGGTGTAACTAACACAATTTTCTTTTATATATATAGATTGTTTATTATACTAATATGTTATTCTTTAAAACATGTAAATAAAATCAGCTTTAATTGAGTCCTTATTAAACACATATTAACTCGTCGAGTACCGTATTTATAGACACAATTAAAGAACAATAGGTTGCGGTCACCGGTGACCGCTTGGTGTTTGACAGTTTAAGTATTTTTATTTAAACACATCAATATCAACATTCTTTAAGCGCATTAACTGAGACGTTCAAACCGATTGCATAATTCGACACAGTGATAAAACTAAAAGAATTATTAGCCAATAAAACTGCGATTGGCACAATGCCAGTGTGCAATATGCAGCCACAGACGGCAGAGTAAAATGGTTACTTTATTGGGTTACTGTTTTTGTTGCATCTCAATATCATACTTTGGCTACACCATTTATATAGAAAGAAGACTTGAAGAAGTTTTTTAAAATATCTTAAAGAAAATTAGGCATTGTTTTGTATGTAACATAACATGACATCACGCCTTTATATTCCCGAAGGGGTAGGCAGAACATTACGGTACTTAATGCCACTGTACAATGTAACACCCACTTTTCACTATTTATGTTATGAGTCCCATGTAATAGGGGGTATTAGGTCTGGAAATGTGCCCGATATATGGCAATAGGTAATAGGGCCTATTGCCATATATCTTCCATAGACTTCGTGCTACTACTGAGATTTAAAAAAACTCAGTAATACTTTGTTTTGTATGTGTGTACGCATAAATATAGTTATTAAGAAATACAGTGTTAATTAAAGACATAATTCTTTAATAAGTACCTATTGTTTAAGAAAATTCCATATAAAAGTATTTCACTAGTTGCAGAACAGTCTCAAAATTTGTTTCTTTAATCGCAAGTATTTTTTTATATTTTTGATGGGCAGACGTTTGGCCGCTCTTTCGCCTGGTGATAAACGATGATGAGGCCTACGATGGAGCACGTCTGCCCATGAGCAACCTATTCACACACTTGTGCCAATTTAGTTTAGTCAATTTTCCGTGGTGCTTGGCGACTAGGCTTCACCCAGTTGTGCAGTCTCTTTTCATTTTTTTGTGTTTTTAGGCTTAATTCACTCTGTCTCCTGCAGTAATTCACCGAGGGAAGTGGAAACTATAGTTTTTTCGTTGCGGGAACCAAGACATTCATGTCCCTGGGACGCGCCGGCGTTCAGTGTTCCGATGTTTTCATGGTTGTATCTACCGTAGATCCTGGCTTACAGGAGTTGCAGCGGTTTTGGGAGGTTGTGGCAGGCTTGTCCCATAAAAAAAA